GATCAGCCCACCCCACTGCCCGAACAAGTGGGTCGCTTTCCCACACGTGAGCCTGATCGTACTACTATTGACTATCTTTAGAGTAGTATCTCGTCTAGCTGGTCACGAGGAGTGGGGCCAGAGTGGTTGGAGTGAGCAAAACTGTACCCACCGACTATGAGGAGGGCTGCAGGCCTCCTGACTGGTCGACGCGACGGTGACAACGACGTCGTCTGATCACCCGGTCACCTGGAGGGCACGGACTGGATTTGCATTTGCAGGCGAGGCGATAAGGCCTGCCGAATGCAAATCACGACACGTGCCACATGTTGAAACTAGCTAACCTGCTGGGGACTGAGTGCAGCAGGACTGGTTGTCAGGCGCCCATCGGCCCATCTCCACCATACCAACACAGTCTAGACAGCCATACCAACTTGCGGCCGTGTGAACGTCCCCAGTTTGGCAATTCTGTGTGTCAGCCGCTGTCCCCTCGGTGCTAGCGCCACCTCCATCGGTCTTATGAGGCATTCTCCTGAATCTTAGCTTCAGTCCCTATTTTCGGTACATTTTGTGCCAGACCGAGTCAACTCGCAGACCGGGTACGATTAGAGGCAAGAAGATCTTCACAACGCTCTGGAGACGCTAAATTAATCCCGGACGAGGTTTTCTCCTCTGACAGACGCCAAATAAATCCTAAGTTTTGTCATTTAGTTATGGCTTTGGCTATATTTTCAAGTGCCGTTTGGGGTTTTATTATTCTCATAAATTAAGTGAGCCAAGATAGCATTAATAGTTAAAGTTATCACAAGTGAAATTTGTTAAATGCTTTAAACGGCCATTTCATGACCCAAGGTGATTCAAGTTCTTAGTCGAAGTCAATTTCAAGATCTACTTATTATATTGATAGTAGTGCCGTAGATAGTAATGATAAATTGATAATTGTAGCCATAAATATGGTTATAGAGAGGCCTGGCCTACCCTTTATGGCACATCTGCCCTGTGACTCACCGGTACCTGTGGTATACTTGCGGATTTGTAACATGTTGCCAGGTAAATTGTCCGGCCTTATTAAAGTCGAAACTGCAATTCACCTTATGGGCAAGGCTATGTGAAATCCAATGGCATTCTTTTTACTACTCATTATATCTTGCACGCCTCAATCTTCACTTTACAAATTACCCTAAACGACCTCAGCTGAGTTGAGTCGTTAAAAAATGGTTTGTTTCGAATCTACTTATTTGGTAGAAAGTAGTGTTGTTGATTATAATGGCAAATGGAAATTTGTCTAGCATACGAATCTGTGAAGTTGGAAAGACATGGTTTGCCTCGAAAGTCACAGCTGCTCTGCAATTAATTAACAGCTGTGGCTGTATGGTGGATTGACAACTCCAGTCTTGAAGAGTAAAACCATGGAAATGGAATGTAATCCTGAGGCCTATTTATTTTACTGTCGACGATTCGTTTATAGATTCTTTTATTAACTTAAACAGCCAGGTATGAATATATTTCCTAGTCAGTATCTTCTAATGATTTCTAAACTAAATATTTGTTCTCATTTAGTTTTGGAGAAATTTTGTGTACATTTCTGTTAATTTCTGGATCCATTGTATCCTAGTGATTCTGTAGTTTAAATAAGATTTTTGCTGACGTTTTCTTTAACTCGCAATTTGATACGAGGTATGGTTTTATCATTTTCTAGTTTGAATGTTGCTTTGTTTGCTTTGTTTTTTTTGGTTTTTATAGTGTGGTTGGGCAAAAACGAAATTTGTACTCTAGCAAAGTGTTTTGTTTTATTTTAATCATGATTATTATTTATTATTATTATGTGTTTATTACTTTATTATTTGCATCATGCTTGGTATGTCCGTAGCCAAGTCCCCTTATATAATGCCAATCTGCCTGCCGGGATTCGGCACCTGTCGAATCGCCTTCTGCCAAGAGTCCTTAAAGTGTCTAATGAAAGCATTACTGTGAATTTTGCCCTCTTCCTTTCCTTGCGCCCAAAGCCGTCACTTTGCTGCCTCCACTCGTGACTTCAGTCGCATCTCCGCCTGTACCACCCCACCAGTTCTGATGGAGTCCTTGCTTGAGTTTGAAACGGAGAGGCCCATCGTGCCCCAGACCCGATTCCCGGCGAGAGGCGGTGGCCTGACGCCTACGAAGTTGTGCCAAAAGGTGGCAGCCGGTGTTGCGTTCGGTCGGCAGTCGAATGAGAAGGCGACTCAAGCGTCGGAAGGCTGCTCGCCGAGGTCTCATATGACGTCTCGATCATCAGGAGAAGATGAATTAGCGTCAATCCACTCCAGGCCGGCCGGAAACAGGGTTGCCGAGGCCATAGAAACCGAAGAAATGAGTGCAAATGTACCGAAGACTAGAGAGTCAGGCGGGCTACATCGAAGATTGCATAACCTTAATTTCGGCCGGAACAACGAGCAAGAAGCGGACGTGAGAGAGGCTGATTCAACCACGGGTCTGGCCGCCTGTGTTGCCTGGCCGACAGAAACGCTGATATTGGACGAGACTGATACCATTAAAATGGCCGACCAACCTCTTAAGGATGCAACCCTCGGTCGACCAAGAGCCATGGTCGAAGAAGAAGTGGCCGATGTGTACACAAATTGTGAGGCTGCGACTGATATTGCCCATCAGGCAAGTGGTTGTGAGGCCAGATCGGACCTCTTAAGTGAGCCGCAAAAACGGCTGAGACGAATTTTTCTGGTGCGAACAATCAGCGTCCCAGCCAGCATGTCGACGAATGATGAGGAGAAAGTGCCGAAAGAGGTAGGCTTTAAGGCAGTGTGAATCCTCTCTCCTGCTCTCATTCATACCATCTTCACATCTTTATATTTCCGCCCTCCCACCTCGTTCAGCTGCATCCTAACAGCTTTACCTCTCAAACTTCCTCCATAGTCATTTTTAGCTCCTCTGTCATAGCTCTCTCTTTGGCAACCCCTTCTCTCATGCTTTTTCCTCTTGTATCCTCCTTTTATCCACCCTCTTATCTTTTATTACATTCACTTCCTCCTTCGTATAATTCTCTCTACATCTGAGCCCCAACTTTGCCGCATTCTCCTTCTCTATCTCCCATATAATTTCCATATTTCCCATATATCACAACCTCCATTTTACTTCTTTTCCAATACCTCCCATCTACTATTTTACATCGTAGATACGAAGAGAAACTTGGTTTCGATGAATCTCCTGAGATAACATTGTTAGGGGGACCTTCAT